TAATATGCTTAAAGTCATAGTATCTCTTCTGATACTCTTGAGTCTTTCTCAAGAATTCATAAGCTTTCTTCTGAATCTTCTGAATTCTCTCAGCCTGTTCATGAGTATTATCATACTCTATAGTGTACTCTCACAGGTTCATCAAGATCATTCACAGATAAGTCTCAGTGAGCATCTCAAAGAGGGTTTTATCTGTACTGACATGCTTTGAGTTATTATATATGAACTCTGTGAGTAGTAATTAATACACTCAGTTATTCTGATTATAATTGATAAAGTATTACAGATACTGTTCTAATATACTCATCAGATATTCTATCTAATTATCTGTCTGTTAATAAAAAGCTGTACTTAGATCTTGTGAGATCTTCAGTATAGTTATCAGATTAGATCAGAACTCTTCTACAAAGATTAATTCTCTATCTGAGATAATATTTATAGATAATTCATACAATCAGATCACATTGCAGACAAAGATATAAGTCAAATTCTTTGACTTTAAGTTCTTATAAGTGAGTATAAAGTGTGTCATCTTGATAAAGTAATTCACTATTATCAGCACACTGTTAAAGCAGACATTATATATGTTCTTGCTTTCAGAGAGACTTATAAGAGTATTCATTTCTAACTATTCTCAAGGTTTCTGTAGAATGAGTAGAGAAGTGAGTTCTTCATATAATCTGAACTGCACTATCTGTGAATTCTGATAAATAGTATAAGAATTCACTATCTTCTTCACAAGTTCTCACATCTTCAGTCAGAAGTATTTTCTTATGAGTAACTCATAAGTTCTAGTATCTGTAAAATGATCTGCTAGAGAAGAGTCATGATGCCTTTTAATAAGTTCTATATATAGAAACTCATTCATAGGTATATAAATCCAGCTCTCTCTTTATAAAAGATCATTTAAGTCTCTTCAATTCTTTATTTCTGCAGGGTTGATCTCTGCTGTAAGCAGTTTTCAAATATACTGAGTATATTTATTCTTCAGTTACAGTTCAGACAATCTGAATAGAAGATCTTATAAAGACTTATACTCTGTTTCTTCTTATATCAGATCTTCTACAGTGCTTCTCAAAGTCTGTAAACTCTTCAGATTATAGATACTCTCTTCAAGAATTCTCATGAAGATTCTCAGAGTGTTAACTCTCAGTGTTATAGAGAGTAGTTATATAGACTTCTTCTCTTTCTTTTCTCTCTTCTCTTATAAGGAATTGAGAGACTCTTCAGTTAATCTCTTTGTAACACTCAGTCTGAGTATTCTGTGAAGCTTTTCTGTCTTCTCTAGTCTCTCTGTATCTGTCACTCTGATCTTCTTAATATAGTCTGATCTGTGAGAGAGTCTGTCTGCTGAGTTCTTAGTTCTCTTGATATATTCTATCTTGAATCAGAACTCACTCAGTCTCTGAGCTCAGTGAATCTGCTGCTATAAGAGTTTCTTAATTAAAGTAAACTATTATAAGCTATCATGATCAGTTCTAATAGTAATCACTGTTACAAGGCTCTTGAAGTAGTGACATTAGTGATGAAAGAATTTCACTATTATAAGAAGCTTCTGATTATAAATATCATAGTTGATCTTCACAGATTGTATCTTTCATAAGAAAAAGATCACTGAAACTCAGTTCTTATTTAACTGTAGTTATGAGACTATTTCTGAAATTATAAAGAAGAAGATATCTATCTTCAATCTGATTAAGAGTAAGAGATTAAAGTGAAACAGTATCACTGTGTCTGTGAATATCTGTTTCAATCTTACAAAGACTCTGTAAGCTTCTGAGATAAGAAAGTTCTTACAGTTCTCTCTTCTTAATAATCTTTTCATTCTCTGTTTACAGAATAACTTCTTCTTATTTTCACTCTTCAGTATGTCTGTAAGAGTCAAGAAGATTCTTATAAATACAAAGATAAACTGTCTATAGAAATTCATAAAGCTCAGAAAGATCTGAATCTCATGAATACTAGTTAGCTCTGATTATAATAGAATAGTCTCAATCTGTGAAGATTTTATCTGAATATTATTCACAGTGATTACATATTCTAGGAAATTAATCTGATAAGTACTGAAGTTACACTTTATAAGCTTAATATACAGTTCTGTCTCATCTAAGATCTTCAACATACTTTACACATGCTCAGTGTGTTCTTTCTTCTTCATAAAGTACATCATCACATCATTCAGATATATTATTATAAAGATATTCAGATATATATAAAGTATTTTATTAATAAAAGACTGAAATGCTGTGAGAATATTAGTCAGATTAAAAGATATTACTAGATATTCAAATAATCTCAGTGCAGTTCTAAAGACAGTCTTTTATTTATCTTCAGACTGTATTTACAGCTGTGTATATATATTGATTACATTCAGTTATGTGAATATGACAGCTCTTATGAGATAATTAATCACATTCTTAATCAGAGACAGAGAGTAGTGACTCTTTATTATCTTAGAGTTCAGATTATAATAGTTTATATATAATCTAAGATCTTCATTCTTCTTCTTTATAAATATCACAGAGGCTTCTGTGAAGATCTGTGAAGATTGAATAAAGTTATTCTTCAGATTCTTCTTTACATAGATCTGCAAGATCTCTGTCTTATGATAAGAGAGCTTATAGATTGATTCTTAGAAGAATTTCTGTTCTTCTATCAAATCTATTATCAGATTCTTCTTATAGTGAGAAGAAAGCTCAGCTGTCTTAGCTGAGCTAAATATCTCTGTGAGATCTCAGTATTTCTCTGATATCTGAAGCTCAGTTTTCATGACTGTAAGATTCTCAGACACTTGTAAAGTCATTACATAGATAGACTTATCTTCTTTAATTAACTCTGCAGCATTAACTGCTTCTATCTCTGTAAGTAAGTCTATCAACACTGATTGAAAGTATAAACCTGACTCACAGACAGCTATGTGCAGATTATGTCTTTGAAGTTATATAAGTCTTAAATACATGTTATCTGTGATATCTGTAATAATCACAGTTTTTACAAATCTTCTTCAGATTTCAGAGAGATCTTGTAATTCAAAAATAATTCTTATAAGTCTCTCAGCTCTCAGGTCTGAGTTCTCATACTCTACTTATTATAAGAGCAGATTCTCAGTCTTTATCTTTCAGCTCATTCACTTTACAAGCTTTAGAAACATTATAGTGATCTGAGATTCTAAGTTCATTAATACTTCTCATACTTATGAGACAGCAGTACTGCAGTACAGTCTCTCTCTGTAAGTAAGTATTTTCATTGAAGAAGTAACAGATTCAGATATCAGCTTTAAGACTCTTAAGAAGACTGTTACTGACTCTGTCTGTGACTTCTCAAATTTCTATTTTAATTTATCTGAACAGTTTGCACAGAGATATTCTGATTTAGAATAGATAAAGTAAAGTCTCTTTTTCTTAATCTCTCTATTATATACTCTGTTCACAGAAGCTTGTGAAACTCTCTCTCTCTGCTCAGTAGTCAGATATAAATCTCTCTATATTTTATCATCTTTTTCTGACAAATCTGTTCTCTGTTATTCTAACTCTTATAAGACTGATCAATAATTCACTCTCTGTAAGTCTGTGACTCTCACAGTGATTCATAAGTGATAAATAAGAGTCATCAGTTTCTTCAGAGTCAAGAGCTTAGAGCCTTGCTCAATAAGCTTATTCTATATATCTTTATTCAGTCTCTTCATGAATATCATTATTCAGGTCTTATTTCAGAGCCCTATTTTCACAGATCTTAATTCATATCATAATTTTATAAAGTACTGTGAGTAGTCTTCATCAGATTTCTTATCTCTTTTTCTAATATTGATAATTACAGCTCAGATATTCTCTATCTGACTCACAGAGTTTCTTAACTTATTCTTTAGATAGGTCTTGAGAACAGATTATCAGAATCTCTCATAATTATTCTCTAGATAATTCAGTCAGTTCTTAGCTTCAGTGTAATAGAGATCTGTTATTATATAGATGATAGCTTCTTTATCTTTCATATCACACAGCTGAGCTTGTAAGTTAATTTCAAATACAAACTTATAAAAGCTTTTATAGATTGTAATTTGATAGATAATTTTAAGTAATTATGACTTGAGAAAGTTTCTTTTCAGTTCACAGATATCTCTGAAGATCATGTCTAGAGACTCAGTTTAAGAGTGTTTACAGATAGTAAGCATTTCTTATAGAAAAATAGCTTGATTCTGCAGAAGATGCTCAAGAATGTTCTTCACTGAGATTGATTTATTCATGAATTTGAAGAATTTCTCTATCACAGATGTAGAGAATGATGTTCTGTGAGTAATTGATAAGTTCTCTAAGACTTCTTTTACAGAGATTATTCATGATTTAGATGACTGCTTCTGAGTGTCTGCAGTAGAGTTTGCAGAGATTGAAGTATATGAGTTTCTAGTTCTTTCAGTTATAATAAGCAGTTACTGACTGACTGAGCTTGAAATGTAAGAATAAGTACTTACAGGTGATTATTCAGGTATTTGCAGCTTGACATGATATATACTGTTAATTACTAGAAGTGTTCATGATAGAAAGATAAATATAGAGATTAAATGTATCATAGCATTCAAGCTGAGTTATGAATAGTATTCACAAATTCCAGTCTATATAGTTGTGTGTAGCCAAGGGCCGCTAGCCCTATTGGTTACGCGAGAGATAGGAATAGAAGTAAAGGATCCGCGAGGAGCGGGATTTCTTACAGCTTAGATAGCAGTGAATGAACTCACTAAATCTCTAAACACTGTGATATTTACACAATTCATGATTTTGCTAGATCTTACAGATATAAAAGTTGAGAATGTTTAATTTTACATTTGTATTTGATTTTGACAGACTATCTTGGTAGTTTGGGTGTTTTTGTATGTGATTCTTGTTATCTCAAGGGGGGGTGTTGGCCCTTACAGCCGTTGCGGTTAGCGATCCCACTAGATCACGTGACCCACCACTATATTATGTTCTTGTAGATAGATCTATCAATACACAACCTTCAACTATCCTACAACTTGTAAGCATGGTTCAGTCCACCGGCCGGATCCTTAGTCAGTCCTTATGTAACTCATGCCTCAATCGAGCTGTTGGAGCTAGCTCAGGCTGTACATCCGGGTACATCCATCCAACTGTCCCCAGCATGTAGCATAATAATACTCTTTATTATTCTTCAAAAATCATGGTTTTGCAGTCTCATGTTCCACCGTGTCTTGTTCGCTGCTCCTCCGCCTTTGGGCTCTCCAAGTTGTGACCTTGCTTTCGTCGGGCCTCGAGATCAGAAAGTTGGTCCTCCCCCACCTATATCGAGCTATATCAAGCAGCTCTCACCGACAATCTTGAGCTGGCAAGCCTCGTTTTCCAAGGCATCTAACCCCTCAGCTCTTTCTTAAGGCAAGCTCGTGGTGGCCCAGGCTATTTCTTCTCGCTACCAACCCGTTTTACCCCAACCATAGCAACAGCAGATCTATATTTAACATTAACAATAATACACTTTTAACAAACTTCCTCCCAGAAAAATACTCAAGAGTTTGCAAAGAACGACTTGCTCCTAGCTCTTAGTTTCCGGCGCCTAGCAGACAGCATGGATGGCGTCTCTGGGAAAGTGCTGGGCCACGTCCACCAACGCCCAGCGGCAAATTATGGCCTGACCATTCAAATTCTCCGCAGCCTAGCTCTCCTGACCTGGTTCAACTGCTGCTGCGTCTGCATTGTCGCTACCCAGCTCGTGGGTGCCCCTCTCTATTTTATCCACCGCCAGTACTTCAACTCCTACATGGCCATGACGAAACGCTCCTTTGGCATCGCCATCACCGCTCTGACGGAATGGGGTTGCCCGACGCCTATCCGGGTCAGTGGGGACAAGAGTGTGCAAGGCCAGTTCTCCCTGACAAAGGATGGTAATGTGGAAACCTCGTTTCCCGAACGAATGGTTCTGATTGCCAACCATCAGGTCTACACCGATTGGCTGTACCTGTGGTGGTTCTCCTACACCTCTCAGATGCACGGCCATATATACATCATACTCAAAGAGTCGCTGAAATATATTCCCCTGATTGGCCAAGGGATGATGTTCTACGGCTTCATTTTCATGGCGAGAAAGTGGATTTCGGATAAACCTCGGTTGCAGCATCGCCTCGAGAAACTGAAAACGGTCCATGAGGAGGGTAGATCTGGTTCACGGGTTCTGGACCCGATGTGGCTCCTGATATTTCCTGAGGGTACGAATCTGTCACGGAATACGAAACGGATCAGTGACGCATACGGTGCGAAGCAAGGGATCCCGCCGTTGCGTCACCAGATTCTGCCACGTTCAACAGGCTTGTTTTTCTGTTTGCAACAGCTCAAGGGGACTATTTATTGGGTGTATGATTGTACAGTTGGCTATGAGGGACCACCGTAAGACTCATTAACATATTGATAGTCAAAAAATGGTACGCAGCTAATATAAATTCGTATGATCCTAGAAAGGGCAGCTATCCAGACGCCTACTTCACCATTCGCTCGACTTATCTAAAAGGCCGCCCTCCTAAAGTTGTAAACTTCTACTGGAGACGTTTTGCCGTTGCCGCGATTCCCTTGGATGACCAAAAGGAGTTCGAGGCATGGATACACGAGCGCTGGCTCGAGAAAGACGACCTCCTTGAACGGTTTTACGAAACGGGCCGGTTCCCGCCCTGCGAGTGGGAACCTTCCTCGAACGGTGATTTACAGAAACAAAACGAAGATGGCGCTAGTGTAAAGCCCAACAACCCAAGCTATTATGAGTCTGCAGTCAAGCTAACGTGGTGGGGGGAGTCGCTCCAGATTTTTGCTGTTCTAGTTGGTCTTGGCGCTTTCTTTTGTCTATTCCCTAGGTTTTGGAGAGTTGGGACTTGATCTGTTTGTCTCTCTCATTTCTTTATTCTTTTGAATTTTCTCATGACGTGGTGTGCTGGTGGAATATACCCTTGTTGAACGGAGCTGTTTCTTTTTGGAAAGGATATCTACTTTTCTTCCGGTTTTTGGGCTCTCTCTCGTTTTTTCCCCTCTCTAATAGAGCGGTAATGATTTAAGCGGGTTAACTTGAAGCATATTTTGGGACACTCTCGTCTTATGATTTATACCAAATGACGCTTCATACCTCACATTTGAGCACTCTTCACTCGGGTTTTTTTAAGAAGCCATGGGCAGCGGAACAGCGAACCAGTTTTGGTCGTTGGTTTAAATAATTGTCTATTTAATAAGAATCAATCAATACAATCCAACGATGTTACTATCTATGTTAATTTGGCTGCTAATAGTATTCCTCCTCATGTGTCAGGTCACGGGATCTGCAAATGTGGCGCAGGATATGCGTGGCTGGTGTCATAACGAGCCCAGCCACAGATCTAACTTCTAACAAATTCAGTGTCCAAAGAGACATGAAGCTCTCCGCATTCGACACATTCACCACCGCAGACATACTCCTATTGTTTATGGCATGCAGGGTATCCCGGTGGGACTATTTCATTTGCCTGCATTGCAACTCTTTCTTTCTAAGAGCCGTTTGCCATTGATAATGATATAGACCTTTCCGAAGCCGGCCCTTTGACATCGCGCCTCTGTCGCCCTCTTTAGATACCTCATACCTCCCGTCCCCGAGCGGGACCTACGTCTTCAACCATGGCGCCTCTCCAAAATGGGTACACCAACGGTGCACTCACGGAGCAGAGCATGCTAACAAACTACCGCTTCTCTGATATTCCCTCCGCCATCGACATCCCCGCCTCCACCTTCGATAGTGAAGTCGAAATCAGTCTTGAAGAGCTTCCCGACGATCCCACCGAGCTCTGCACCCTCCTCGACAACGAAAAGGCCGCAAAGAACTTCTGGGTCATTATCGCGCTCGCATACGCGAAACAAAACCAAATCGATCATGCCATCGACATTCTCAATCGCGGCCTCTCGTCCCTCGCGCAGGGCGTGACGAAGGAGAAGCTGGGCCTCCTGGGATGGATATGTTGGCTATACATGCTAAAGAGCAGAGAGGCTCCCCGTGTCGCTCCGGAGGGTCAACTGGTGTCTGAGGCGAAAACCAAAGATTACTATCTCCAGGCTGCTACATCTACTCTAAACGAGGCATCGCGGTTAAATCCCGCATTCCCTCCTCTTTTCCTCGCACGGGGCGTTTTGTCGATATTGCGCGCTTCGTTACAACCTCCCGCAAAAACTCTAAGACCCGGGACAGTCGATACTTCGGAACGAGTAGAGTCCTTGCGCCAGGCCCTTAAATGCTTCGATGAGTCGGCAAAATCGTTCGGTAACCGGAATATCATGGCCATTCTTGGGCGGGCGAGGGCGCAATATATGCTAGGTAGATATGCGGAGGCACTGGAAGGTTATCAGGAAGTTCTGATAAAAATGCCGAATATGAGAGATCCTGATCCCCGGATCGGGATTGGGTGTTGTCTATGGCAACTAGACTTCAAGGAGCAGGCCAAGACGGCTTGGAGTCGTGCTTTAGCTCTGGTGCGTTACCTTTTCCATTTAATTTTATCCAATGAAGCTATGTCATGGGAATTCTGCTAACAAACGTGTCCGATAACGCAGAATCCGGAATCAAAAGTTGCCAATATCCTTCTGGGAGCTTACTATCTCTATGACAGTTCTCGACACGCAACCAACGACCCCGCTTTCGGCTCGTTGTACAAAATCGCAATGACGCAGTATACACAGAAAGCATTTAAGCTGGACAAGGAAGACCCCATGACCTGCGCCATGTTTGGCGGCTACTTCCTGCTCCGCAAACATTTCCCAACCGTCGAAGCGCTAGCCCGCAAAGCGATCGAACTTACTGATGTTAACGCGATTGCTAGTGACGGATGGTATTTACTTGCACGAAAGGAGCATTTTGAGGGCAACGCAGCAAGAGCCAACGAGTATTACAACAGGTCAGACCAGGCGAGAGGGGGTAGCGATAAGGGATATCTGCCCGCGAAATTTGGCGCTGTACAAATGCAGGTGAAGACCGGTGACTATGACGGCGCCAAATTTCGTCTAGAAAAGATCATTCAGCAGACGAAGAATCCAGAGTCAATGACGCTGTTAGGCGCGCTCTTTGCCGAGGAAGTTTTTGCAGCACAGTCTAGCCAGCTTAAGGAGGATAAGTCGGCTGAAGTGAAGAAAGCCACCAGCCTCCTCGAGTCAGTACGTGCGTCGTGGAAAGATGAGAAGAAAAAGCTTTCCCCTGATGAGTCTGTTCTGCTTTATCTTGCGCGGCTATACGAGAGCGGTTCACCGGATAAGAGCATGCAATGCCTGCAGCAAGTCGAGCAGATGCAACTGGCTCAGATCCCGGACACTGAGCGGCCTGAAGATATCGATGACGAAGAGACCGTAAAGAACATGCTTCGGGAAAATTTGGCTCCTCAGCTGCTGAACAATATGGGCTGCTTTTTGTATCATTCTGAGAAGATTGAACTTGCACGGAACATGTTTCAAACCGCCCTCAATGCTTGCGTAAAGTCTCGTGATAGAGATGATTCTACCGATACAGATGCACTTGTGACTACGATTAGTTATAACCTCGCCAGAACTTATGAAGCCGCAGCTATGCCGGAGGAAGCGAAAAAGGTCTACGAAGGTCTACTCGAAAGGCATAGTGATTACACGGAAGCCAATGCCCGATTGACGTATATTGCTCTCCGCCAAAGCCCAACAGATGAAGGGCCGAAGAAAATGGCCAAATTATATGAGCTGGAATCCACAAATCTGGAAGTCCGCGCTCTGTTCGGCTGGTACCTAAGCAAATCGAAAAGAAAGGTGGCAAATATCGCCGAAGACCATGAACAACGTCACTACAAGCATACCCTTCAGGGCTACGATAAACATGATAGGTACTCGCTTACAGGAATGGGCAACATCTACCTCCTTGCCGCTCGAGACATGAGACGTGATACGGAGCAGGATAAAGAGAAACGAAGGAAGGTGTACGAGAAGGCTGTGGAGTTTTTCGACAAGGCGCTACAGCTTGATCCGAAGAATGCTTATGCGGCGCAGGGAATTGCTGTTGCGCTAGTGGATGATAGAAAGGATTACACGACTGCGGTACAGATATTCTCGCGCATTCGAGACACTTTGCGTGACGCTAGCGTCTACCTTAATCTTGGGCATGTATATGCCGAGCTTCGGCAATTTTCTAGATCCATTGAGAACGTAAGTGATTTGACTTCCTTTCAAGGAAAAGGTTGCCGTGATTTGATGATTTAACTAACATAATACTAGTATGAGGCCGCTCTATCTAAGGATAGACAACGCGATACCCAGATCCTCGCATGTCTCGGCCGTGTCTGGCTGTTGAAAGGGATGCAAGAAAACAACCTGGCGGCAATGAATACCGCCTTGGATTGTACACAACGCGCTCGCGCCATTGCTCCCGAACAAATTCACTTAGAATTCAACGTCGCTTTCGTCCAAAACCAGATCGCCCTACTTGTCATTTCTCTCCCGGAATCCCAGCGGACACTCCAAGACGTCCAAGCCGCCTCCGACGGTCTCGACGAGGCGATCAATACCTTCATCCAAATCGCTAAAGCCAAGCATCCACCTTATCCCCGTAGTTCCTTGGAGCAGCGCGCGAACATGGGCAAGAATACCATCCGCAAAAAACTCGAGCGGACGCTACAGAGCCAGAAGGAGTACGAGGAGAAGAACGCGACGAAATTACAGCAGGCGCGAGAGGCGCGGGAGGCTGAGTTGCGGAGACGCGAAGAGGAGAAGCGGAAGAAGGAGGAGGCTGAGTTGAAGCGGAAGAGGCAGATTGCTGAAGACAGGCAGCGGTTGATTGAGGAGGCGCAGCGCGTTGCTGCGATACGTGCGGAAGAAGAGAGGGCTAGGGAAGAGGCAGAGTATACCACCGACTCTGAGACGGGGGATAAGGTGAAGAGGAAGAAGAAGGCGGCTGCTAGTAAGCGGAAGAAGAAGGATGGGGAGGATAGTGGCGCCGGGAGGAAGTCGAAGGATCGGAGCACGGGCCCGGAGAGTGGGGTGGATTCTGACGCGGAGGATCAACCTGCGCCACGGAAGCGTAGACGCCTTGAGAGACGGTCTACTGCTAGGTCTAGTAAGTACAAGAGTAGTGAGATCGTGGTTGAGTCGGAGAGTGAGGAGGGTGGAGAAGGTGCAGAGGTCGAGGCCGGGGGAGCGAATGGGGCTAGTCATGACGTTGGGTCCCCCGTCTCGGATCGCGATGAGGATGAGGATATGCGTGGTTCTGCCGCTGCTAGACGAGATTCCGAGGATGAGGATGAGGATGCCGTTGTTCAACGGCGGCGGAAGAAGGTAACTCTTCGCATTGAGGATGATGAGGATGAAGAGGAGGGAAGTGAGGAGGAGAGTGGGGCGAATAGGGCGAGCTCTGCCTCACCCGCTGAGGAGGCTATTGACGAGGATGATCTTTTTGGAGATAGGAGCGGAGATGAGGCTGTGGACAGGGCTGGTAGTGATAAGGAAGGGGATGGAGGTAAAGATACGGAGATGAAGGATCGCGCCTATGAGGATGATGATGAAGAGTAGGTTATCTGTTTGAACCAGTCTCATTTCCATCCCTGGGCGGTATGAGTAGCGAAGCGGAAGGATTATACATTCCTACCCCCTATCTCACTGGGCCTCAATATGAGCGCTCTGAATCTGAAAATGTGAAATTATTCACAATGCTTCTCTCGACCTCCCACCCGGATCACTATATATACCTAGAGCTTCTCATTCTCCTCCATCGCCCCTTTTTTCCCATCTCATAATCGCTCTTTACGTTGTTTCCATGCCCATCCTCCGCTGGATTTATCTATTTCTTCATTATAAACATGGCCCGGCGTATTTTAGTGGTGCTGTCGGTGCGGTTAAATTTGCTAGTTATCAGTTGGTTTGAATTCCCATTCCCATTTCCATTCATACTTTTTGTCTTTAGTATTATATTATCCCTCCTTCATGCTTCCTCTCTTTTTTCCGGATTTTCAAGGTATACTCTGCCCAGCATCTCGCTTTATTTACTCTACATTATCACTATTTCTAGGTAGTTAGCAATGAATGGAGATTGATTCAATTCATTTTATTATTGCCCCCTATCACACTGAATTCAAAAACACTTGTGCCCCCATCAAATCCTAAAAGCTCTCTCTAGCGGCTGTCGCTCCCGTATGCATGGCCCAATGCCAATATCAACACTAACCCTGCTTGCTCCATTCCTATGGCCGGGATCTTCGGGCCGCCAGCTTAAAGCAACAATCACTAGATTGGATGCCTTGTCTATCAACCGTCACAGGAAGAAAGAAGTGCTTGAAGATCTCTGTTAGAGGCGGGGAAGCGGGTTGACATTGCTGGTAGCTTTCGTTCGGATCCAACTCTCCTTGTGACATGACATCCATGGATCTTTGATTGCTAAGGATATAGAACTATTGCTGACGTACTCTCTAATTGACTACTACTCTTTGAAGGCTATATAAACCGTAACAATGGCAGACAGGCGCCCTGCGCCCATCACCACCATCACCAAGGTCGCCTATTTCGACACCAAGCGGGCTGCCACCGACATCCCGTACGCGCGGTCATTCAGTTCCTCCCCCTCCTTTGTCGTTTATTCGGAAAAATTCATTCAAGACGTTATCGGCGACAATCCGCTACTATCTCTCGTCTCGTCCCGCAAGGATACAAAGGACCAATTCGCTCACGAAGCCGGCGTATACATCCGCAGCACAAACAGCATCTACTTCACCTCAAACTACCAGACCAGCGACCCCAGAATCGACCTCTACGCCATAACCGCCGATACCTGGCAAATTGAGAAACTCACCTCTAAACCAGGCTTTGACATCGTAAGCCAGCCCAATGGCGCCTGCAATTACCAGGACAAAGTCCTCTACTGCGCGCAGGGCGATATTCATAGGGGAAAGAATGGGGGTGGCAGCAGCCAACCATCCGCCCTCACCCTCGTCGACCCCGTCTCCGGCACCGCAGAGACGCTCCTGAACAACTTCTACGGCCGCGAGTTCTCCTCGCTAAACGACGTGGTCGTCCACCACGGCACGGGCGACATCTGGTTCACGGACCCGACATACGGGTATGAGCAGGCATTCCGCCCGCCACCCGTACTGCCCAAACAGGTCTACCGCTTCCGTCCCTCAACGGGCCAATGCTGGGCCGTCGCGGATGGGTTCGATATGTGCAATGGCCTCTGTTTCAGCCCAGACTACACCCTCATGTATATTACGGATACAGGCTCGATACAGAGTCATGGAGATATACGGGATGGACATAATTTCTCAGTCCGGGGGACATTGCCGGCTTCCATTTACGTTTATGATGTGGTTGAGTCGGGGACGCGATTGGCGAATCGGCGACTGTTTGCCTTTTGTGACAATGGGGTGCCGGATGGGATTAAGTGTGATGAAAAGGGGTATGTATATTCCGGGTGTGGCGATGGTGTGCATGTGTGGGACACTGAGGGGAGTTTGGTGGGGAAGATCGTTGTTGGGGGAACTACGGCGAATTTTTGCTTTGATGAGGAAGGGATCTGGATGTTTGCAGAGGAGGAGCTGTGGTTTTGTAAGCTGAAAGCTCGAGGGGCGTTGCTGGGGGTAAATTGGAATGGGTGAGTGAAATACTCAAAGAGAAGAGAGAAGGGAAGTGGGCTTTTATGGTCATTAGCTATTTAGTTTGAACAACCCCCGTATTACGGACATTTTCAGCTCAGACAAGACGTTTTTTAACCACCCATCGCTTACAGATTGTAGGTACATTCCATTGACAATGTGACCTAGAATCGTCCTCTTGAAACTATTACTAGCCCAAACCATTCCGATGCCACAGAGTTAAACCGAATTCAGAAGCTAGAACTAGACAATTACTTTCTAGAAATTTCAGGGTCAATCATTGTAGGTTTCTGTGAAAGTATATGATTGTAATATATGCCCGGGTATCGAACTAAATTACTGCGGACTAGGGTACATTAGACTACCTGGATGCGCGAAAGGATCTTCTTAACTTGCCCCTAAAGTAATTCCCATCACAGCCAGTACCTGACGCTGTTTCAGGGGAGATAAACGAGGTTGTCACTATCTTGCACGATCATCTCTTTGAGAACATGATCCAAAACATATCCGCATTTCTCCGCAGGATATTGGAGCAAGTTCACAATTCGAGGGTCTTCGTTGTGTTCGAGGAACATGCAAATTGCGAAACATTCCGAAGAAACCCTGTGATATATCCACCATTGATCCTCCTCGCACATTTTCCCAAGCCAATGGCTTAGTATGAGGAGTGCTCTGGGGTCCTTCTCCTGTAGGAGCTTGGTGTAGACGGGTTCGAGTCTTCCAATGAAGGTTATTAGCTTCCCAAAATTGTTTCTGTCGGCTTTGAGAGGCAACATGGGGCTGAGCATTCGAAGGGGCCAGTGATATGGGTTGGATTCTTCCGTGGTCGTTTCGTCGATCTCACATAGATCTGCAAGTTCTGGATGCAATCCCTCCCGGCCGGGAGAGTTATTGTTAAAGCTGTGATTCTCATCATCGGATTCCATGAAGGCTTCGAACCAAATGCTTTGTTGCAATTGCTGTATGGAGATGGCTTCGAGGATATATCGAAGCCCAGATTGGCCTAACAGCCAGGAGAGTCTCGTAGGGTCCGATGAAAATATCCAAGAATTAGCAGGTTTACACTCCTCTGACCTGAAAATAATGGTACCCAATAACATGCAAGTTGACATAAGAGGGTCCATATTGTGCTCGTCGATCGGCTTTGAAATTTCCTTGCGGTACAATTTTAACGCATTCTCCCAATGGATTGCTGCGGCTATATCAAATGATTTGTCATGAGGCAGCAAATGGCGGAGGTGTGTTACTGCGACACCAAAAACGGCGTGCATGAGGTATGGGTTCTAATATGAAACAAGTTTTAGTAGCCTGCACGGGAAACGGACGAAACAGGAGATCGATCGCAAAGTACCTGAAAAGCCAATTGCATCATTTTACCGCTCATGACTACCCGATGAGCATCTGACAAGGAAGATGCATGCGCGGCCATAGTTATAAAATGATGAAAAAACTCTACGGTTCTATGGCTTATTGACTTCATCACCGGGAGAAAGGCCTTATCAGTGGACGTATCCAGTTGCAGGACCCGATTGATTTTATCAGCTAAGTCGTCCACAGACATCGAGAACTGCACCGATGAAGGCGGAATATAGGTGCCAGCGGCCATTTGATAAGATTCCCCGTGCGTTATCGGTTGATGCCGCTGGACTGCTAATGCGGAGTAATCACAGCTTACCCCATACATCACACATCTTTGACAATTTGGTTTCGTCTCATCACACTTGAAGCTAGTATCAGCATCTTTTCCATGTGCAAAAGAGCTCAGTGGAACGGATGCATTGGGCTACTCCTGAGCTAATGATGCCAACGAGACATTGAACATACCTTGACTCTCCTTTTCTTGCAATTCAAACATCCAGTTCGAGACTTGCGATGAGGCCGACGGGCATGATAGACGGTTTCCTTAGGTTGTCGAGAAGGTCTATATGGTTCTTTAAAGCGGAAAATTAGCTGGTTTTTGACGAGGCGACTCTCCATTATAGGATGATGTTGGTCACTTCAAGTCCTCAAAAGGGAGTTCTGGCAAACGAGAAGCGATTACAAAGGATGGGAGCAATCAAGGCACCAGATGAAGCGCTCATATCAACTTCCAATATAGGCAGCTAAGAAGTAGTGTTCTGACTCCTGCAAAATGGGTCAAGTACCTTTTCAATGTTCAGAAAGGGGCTATGCTGTGCGCCACTGATACTCTTCTCGTCTTCCTGTCCAAATGTCACCAAAAAGCTGTTGATATCTGTCATAGCCCTCTGTAGTATAATCTGCCTTGCGAGAAACTGGGCCGAATCATGAGCCTGAGTGGAAGCCGGCAGCCTCGCCATTGTAACTGACCCGATGAGCTTCTAGACGCAATCACTCTCACATATCTCGGCCACACGGCCACTAAACTCGTATTCAGTGTGTTTCTTGTCCAGCTTTTGAAAAATAACAACAACACAGGAGGCTGAGCCTTTAACTGTAATTTTGTACTAATACGAAAAGGGAAAGGGCTCACTTTTGGGCAAAATAGTTTAAATTGACGTTTCTTGCAAATCTGCCCCTCAGGCGGGATTGTAGTTCATACCAGACAGAAAACAATTCGTATACATGGTTTAAAAAGGTTACGTTGCACTCAGCCTCATCCAGAGCTATTTTTTACCTATCTAATTGCTGTTATATATATATATATATTTTAGCATGGAGGGCCCTGCAAGGCGAACACATAACCCTAAGCATTTTGCTCGCCTACACTTGTTGAAATTTAGATTCTGCAGGGTATCATGACGGACTAAAAGCACCCCTAGGGGTCAAGATATGGCTCTCAAAGCCGCATGACGTTGCCTCACGGAATTTACCTGATGCTAGAAATGCTTTTGACTCGTACTGTTGAAGGCGCAAGCACCTGGGACTAGTTTAAGGTACCCCGGCGACGATTTCCGCCGGCAAGGCACGGCTTCTAAGTGGAAGTCCGCCCAACTGAAATGAACTTCTTACAGTCGCGGGTTGGATGATAACTAACCATCGGAGACAATGGTCTCGCCATGTATGCCTTGCCAGATTGTGTTAGCAGTAAACGTGCACACGACATTCTCCCCGGAATCAGGGAACAGGCCTAGGGAAGTGAAGATTGCTTATTTCTATCTGAACGTACGTGTCCTTTATGGCACGAAGCGGCGAGATAAATTTCTGGTACTTCATTTTATACATGGGGGTTTTGCTATATGTTTGGAAGTAAAGGCTTGCGCCATACAGAGCTGGACTTCATTGGATTATTTAATGGTGGCACAACTAATGCAAATGAATGCCTAATCCTCGTATCCCATAACTACCAGTATGATTTTTATCATACTACGTATGCTCCTCTATTTTTATTGTCACTGTCAACTGTGCGGCTAATCTGGACCATTAGGCTGGGGATGTGCGGCAGGGCTTTACGAACGCAAACATTCGCATTAATGATTATCTTGCTTCTCTCTAGTGACTACGATATACATTGGCTTATATGGAGGTGACCCAACGCTTATTACTGCGGTTGGATATGACGCAGGAGCTAGCATTATCACCACGATGCTTACGAGTAATGGCGGACGTGACAAGCTGCCATTTTCGAAGGTAAATCTTCCCCTCCTTCATGTCCACCCTTATCACTTCTAGTAGAAGCATGTTACGTTAATGCGAACTTCTAGGGCGATTTTATCTTCTCCCAATATCATACCACATCGCGGGGTGATTGTCTGCTGCAAGCAAATCTATGAAGATATACTTGAAGTTACAAATTGCGAATTCGATTTCTCTTCTTAAGGATTTTCCTGCGGACAAGCTCGTTTCAGCTGTCAACCATGAACTTATCGCTTAAGGGCATAATATCTGCCGTGGCAGGTTAGTCAGGTCAGTCCCAGATAGAGGCTTTGGGCTAATTATTGACGGCGCCTATATTCCCGATACATCCTAGATCTTATATACGCAGGGCCCGTTTTCACCAAGCTATCGCGGTGGAATCTTCAAACACACCCCAAGGAAGCCCATGGGATATCTTCGGACTCTGGGTTCCCAGAGAGGTTTCCTGCACGTGCCGAGTGATGTTTCCGGATGCAAGTGACGCCACATTCAAGCGAATTCACGATCTATTCCCCGTGCCATTGAACCAACCGGTGGAGACTCTAGCACGGGACCGGGTCACATCTGCGCTAGCAAATTTGCTAATTGCAGTATGAGCAGGCCTTCTGCATGTAAACCAAAGAACCACACCGACTAAAGATGAGGACGTCGCCCTTCAATTCCAATCGTACATTCGGAGATTCGTTACTGGAACTGGTGCTGAATTACCTATATATCTGGGCTCGTCTGGCTGGCCTCCCGACAAGCGGCTGATATTATAATCGTGAAGGCGGAAGCATTGGAACTTACCCGCGACTCGTGGAATGCTCATGGAATCAATGAAACATTGATAGATACTGCCTCTAGACTTTGAGAGTGGAGCGTGAGACGGTGGAGCTGTATCTGCCTCGTGTGCATGAAATTACGAGTGGCGAATATTACCGAAGACAGACCGAGACAACAATGACATTGAATGCTAATTATAGCGTTAATTTCTATATTATCATATCATTTCCGTCGACATTCGAGTGAGCGACATTCACCCAAAAAAAAAGGGGGGGAGTTGGTGGTCGAAAAAGGGGGTGGCGCGAACCATGACACTTTCTTAGTTATTATTTGTGTCTCAAGGTATGCCCAGAGTACTGCAAACACGGCACAGTGGTAGAGTGGTTAATACGTGAGACTCGAATTCTCCAAATGTGGTTAGTTCGCATTTGGTAAGCTTTAGACCATCTCATGCCTTCGGGCGCGTAGGTTCGAATCCTGCCTGTGTCGATTCTTTTTTTTTTTTCTGCATGATGTGTTTTCCTTGTTGACTCTGAACCTACTTTCATCTCTACTACTATATTGCTAGAATCAAATCAAAGATGAAGGAAGAAACAGTCAATTAATCAGATATTGAACAAAGCTCAGAAGAAAACAGTAAAAATTAAAAATTAAAGTTAAATAAATAGTCTTCAATTATTAATAATATAGAATTTTACAAATTCAATTCTAGAAGAGCATCAAAAAAACATACAACAGCCGGGATTCGCTGGTGGTCACCCACCCAACTACTAACCGGCCGGCGAGTGGCTTAAGTACGGCTGAGCGGACGGGAAGCCCTGCTTTCCACTCCCTATGGTCGTATGTGTTTATCCACCAAATGATTACCCTATTTATATCATAATGGATCTTTTGAAGAATGAAAATTTTTACACCTATTTTTCTATTTATATATGAAATATATAAAGATAACTAAGTACTCCGTATATTAGATATTACGGACGGACTCAGGTTTATTCTTTTTCTTTTATTTACCAATACGGATCTCAGTATTTTGTCAATATTTTTAATTTAGTTTGCGCTGAGCCCAGCCCGTTTCCTGAACATTTATTTTGTCCAATATGAGGTATCAAGGATGAGTATTGACATTTGAGGCATTTATCAGAGAATGGCATATCTACAAATCATGAATTCCCCCAGGTTATCAAAGTATTGTGACCCTGTCAAGCTCTGATAGATCCATCAGTCAGTGTCTTCATAAAGGGGGCTGGGGAAAGAAATTAGCTGTTTAGTGGCTAGCCTTCTTCAGACTTTTCAACAAATCTTAATTCTAACCCATTCATTGCTCCATACCTAGCGACTTTGTCTGCCAGACATGAAAAAACCAAATACATCATCTCACTACCTCCACGGAATTGATATACAAAAATTGTACCCATAACACCTGGGCAGCATTATCGGGAAGCGCTCTTCTACTCCGTTCCATGTCTGTAAAATGCGGCTGCATGAGAGCTTCTAGCACCAGAGGCAAGGTTGGCGGGTCTTGCGTAGGCAGGCCATTGTCTCTCGCCGGGACGCTTATACCTACGTCTATCGCCATTGCATCGTGATCTTGGAAGCGCTCCGGAACCTAGGAAATGGAGCACCATTGTGCGCACCCACAAAGGGTGGTGTAGTTGGACCAAATGCGTTTCGAGTCTGAATACGGGTCCTGCAGGATGTGTCTGCTCGTAGCGGTCCCCTCTACCAGGATGATATGCTACGTTACTTGAAGTAATACCGGGGGAGGGAAGCGAGCGGATAGAGACGATAGGATTGAACATGAGGTTGGTATGCGAAGAGACATTAGGCTTTTACGAGGTGCGTCTTTCCTCGCTTTCTAGATGCTTCACCGAGGCCTGCGTTGTGGAAATGCGGGGGATGCTCAGGTTCGCCTTGATTAATTCCAGGCTTCAAGGCTTGAAGAGTTCTAACGTGACGAAGGCCACACAGCTCGTGTGAAGACTCACTCCCATGGAACGCACAATGGGAACGGTAGCATCATTTCATCATCCCAATTCTCTTGAGCACACACATCCGCCAAACCCTTCGAGCTCTTCGCCATCCGAACCACCCGCATCCACAGCCGTCAGTGAAACAGTGCGCCAGAATCCTGAGAAAAAGGAAAGGACCAACAGGATCAGAGCGGAAAAATCACTGTCAAACTCTAATTACGAGGTTGCCAGCCGAATGCCAAAAACCCACGAGGATTACATTTGCAGGGTGCAATTAATAGTGGCCCATGTCTCATTAGCTCATCCTCTACATTCAACCCCCGCTACCAATTCTTCAGGCGGTTCCAGGTCGTGCTCGGGGGAACAAAGGCACTAAAAGCTCCATGGGTCGCGGTGCAATACCCCTCCTCAAAATGGAAAATACATGGGGAAAAAAAATGAAAAAAAATAGCATGAAGCGAAAAGGAAAAATGCACTGGCTGTGATTTAATTATTGGGACAAATGCCACGCTTCTCCTTTTTGTTGGGCTTTTCTTTCTGCGGATTAATTAAAGGTAAGGGCGAATACCCCTCGAGACTCTTTGTTTCAGCGACATGCTCATGCACAACAACACCCTGCATTTCCGTTCATATGAAAAGATGCATGGAAGCGGTGACACCCGATGATTTGCAACTATAATGCATTCCATTGGGGCTACCTATGCGCGACTTAAAAGGAATGGAAATGAGGAAATTTTACGTTAAATTGGATTCTTAGGCACATCAAATGGCTGCTCATTGATTCATCAACCGGCAATAATGAAGCAACAAAGTGGGACAGATAAATACATCAAACCGGGGCACAGGATCCATGCCAGAGTCGAACGGGCAAACTATGAAAAGTGAGCGTGCAGCATATTCGCCGCTGAATATAAAAAAAACCCCACTGCTCCCACTAGAAAGAAAGCGTTATGCTCTAGACGAAAATCACATGGCCAAAGAAGGGAGTCATATGGAAGTTTGGCTGATCAGGCGGGCTCCAAGCACCCAGTTTTTGATCCGGGAATGTCTCCGGGGAGGTGATGGTGCGGAAGAAATTCATCCGCCAGCACGTGCCTTGAAGACCTCTCTCGGGCACGTTAAAGAGCGCAAGCGGGATCTGGACTTCAGACTTCCAGGTCTTCGCTCTGCGATTGAGTGTGGGTTTCGGCAAACATCTCGTTCCCGAAGGGATCAGAAATGAAGGCATGATCCAGGGGGGTGTTTGGTGCGCGCACACGCGAGGGATTGTAAATGAACGACTGGTAGGTGACGTTATTCGGGTTTACTTCGAATTCGAGGTATGTCTGCGGTGCGTCGTCGCCGCGCTGTATGAACGCCTCCATCACTGAATACTTCCAGATGTCGTCGTTGGTGCCCTGTTTGGGGTCGAAATGGAAATCCTTCTCATCGTATGCCGTGAAGGTCAGATGGAGCATGGGGGAGATTTTGGAGGTTTCACTGCTATAGCAGAGGTCGACTTGAGTCTTCGGGAATTTCAATCCCTCGGGGACTGACTTGTCGAAGACGACCTTGCCTTTCCTCGGACATTCGGGAACCGTGACAGATGGAAGTTTTTGATCGCGACCGTGATCGCTCAGGACTTCTGCGTCTACAGAAACGGTCATTGCCGCCCCTAGGGCGCAGAGGAGGAGGGAGTTGAGGAGCATTATTGTAGCTGAGTGGATATATGTAACCAGAGTGATGGATTCTGGAAGGTGCTGAAGTGACAGGAGGCCGATGAGATGAAAAAAAAAAGAACTTGCTTTCAGTTCCCGGACGGGCTGTCTCATATATATAGCGCCAGGTAACGAGCTCTTATTGCATGCTGATCCCAAAAGCAAGCGTGGAATATTAAATCCGGGCCTCTCCTTTGTCAACGTTACAGGGTTCTGTAGTGTAGTGCGGCAAGACACAAGGTGCATACATACAGAGCGATTGCATGTAGCATAGAGCAACGCGGATTTCGACTCAAGGCATAACTGTCTGATAGCCTTCCGCAGCATGGCACTATATCCCGCCACAGCCGGGACAAACGGTTGTGGAGCCGTTCGTGGCTTGAGGTGTTGTCTTGACTGTGTTTTTATACGGGGTAAAGTAGCATCCATATCCATCTCGGCCAGCTCCAACTTATACCTCTGGAGCCTGCGGCGCTGCCAATGGATGCTATGTTCCGCGTTGAATGTAACTTCAACAAACGTGAGAGAGGGAGTTCTCCCCAGTGGTCTAGTGTCTACTTTTGTCGGGCAATGGCTCTCCTTGTCTTTCCCTCCTTCTCTCTCTCTGTATATCCGCCAGGGAAGAACTTCATAACATTCAAGATTCCGGTTCTGGCTCCAGTAAAGCAGCATATAGACAGTTAAGGGTTTCTGCGGGTATGTTATATTGAATTGACATACAGTAAATGATCATGGAAACAAAATCTTGATTTCACCTGAATGCAATGTGCATACGGAGTACAGAGTACATGACACACAGTATTATGCAAAATGTAATTAGCACATTCATCTCAAGATAAACTAACTATATGATGAGCCAGGGTCAATTGTTAATGGCTCAGCGAGGCAAATTCCTCAGCTCCTGTATTCAGACTGCATATCTAGAGCATCCTCTCTGCATACATACATACATACATAGTTATGTGATCTGAAAATTTATCCAATATGATAGGTAATTTTCTCATTATTGGCTAGAATAGTGTTTGCACATCCAGCTAGTGTTGATCACATCTTCTCTTCTGAATTCTAGTATGGCTCTAATGTATGAAGTTACTTCGCAGCATTCCTCGTACATCTTCATGATACTGATAATACTGCCTGCTTGGTCACTTTTTCGCTTTTTCCCTTTTACAAGATGTAGTTCAAAAAATGGTAAAGGATTATCAAAATAAATACTCTACAGGATCAATTTGTGTAGAACAAAAAAAAAAGAACTCGGAAAGAAAATTGGTTTAGATATAAATAAACCACCACCCACAGCTGTACAGACAAACTTAAAAAAACAAGCCGCGATGTTAAAAAACACTTTCTAAGTGATTTTACATAGAAGGTCGATCAATTTTATATCAGTAACCTGCTGTTCTCAAGTTTTTATGCTCAACTATGATGTGGTGTAAGCTTATGCTTGACTAAGTGGAGATATATTTCTTTATATGATAAGCTGTTGAAGCCCCTGTTCCTTTATGTTTGATCCCTACCTCTCACTTACTTAGTAAATGAGCATTGGTGATAATAATAATAGTATATTTAATAATAATGAATGATAATACAACAGCGCGGAGATTAATGAATTGCTTAGCAAAAATATGCTTATAAAGAGTTGTGAAAAACTGCAAGTTGAATTTTTTTTTTTTTAAACAAGAAAACCCTGATGATAACCCCCTCATTCAAATCATTGAATTATATATTAAAAAAGTTAGCTCCCTTGCACGTTGTTAAAATTTGCTCTCTGGTATCAAAACTTCAGGTAACTAACTGTGCGCCTCCCAACTGCATCGGAAGAATGCCAAGAACATATTTCTGCTCGTTCCACTTATCTAGTCTGAGATGTCCATCTGAGCGTCCTTTCTTATGAATTCTTTAACTGTCATCTTTTTACATAGATATAGCTATCCCCTACCTTATATGACTCGGTATCAGCTAACGAGAACATAGGGAAGCCCGCGTCACTTATCCATATCAAAACCTGGTGAGAAACCGAGCGGAAGAAGTTCGGACATACTGCGTAAATGCAAGCGGGGCCCCCCCACCTATGCCGCTTTCTATAGATAGCAGCGGATATAGAGAAACCAGCTCCGCCGCCTCAGCTTCCGGAACGGCCATGGAGGGGATGTCGAAAGCGGTGCAGGGGGTTTGTTTCCACGCTCATTTTGTGCTTCGGAGCTCTCGGCGTGTGTGAATTTCGTAACAGCGTCGTGGGGAGGGAGAATCCTGGGAAAAGGGGCCCCTTTTTGTAAGGTACGAGGATCATAGAGGTCTGCGCAGTTTGAGGCCATGCATGATTGTTCGCGGTCAAAGCGGATCGAGATACATGACTAATGTAAAGCTAGGACAGTTGAGCGGACGAGAAGCCTTGACTACTGGACCGACCATAATCATGAGAACAGGTACTGCATCTACCGATGTAGATATGAAGTTGATGAAGTATTCTGAGCACTTTTGTTGCATCATCGCTCTCCCGATTATTATCTTTGGTGGCGGAACAAGTAGGAACATCAACTTCTTTTGCCGCATTATAATCATCCATCGCTCTAGATCGCGTCGACGCAAAAAATCACATCCGGATCGTTCGATACGGAGTTGTCGGATCCTCATGTGGATGCCTCCTTGTTGAATGGACAAGGTATGAAGGACATGCAGCAGTCAACATAAGATCCGATACAACGGGTATTCAGGCGAATTTATTTTTTGGCTCCTGTGTATTTGCAAAATTCATATTGAAACTCAAATATTTCGGGATTGCGACCTGTATCGCGCTGTTAATCACAAAACCACATTTTGCAATCTCCCAGTCATTTATTTCTGGTTATCGGGTGATGAGATATTGTACTGCGACCTCACTTCTTGCAAAAGAAAACGTTCAGCCCATACCAATATGTCTAACACCCGAAAGTCTCCTGTTTCAAGTACACGGACCAGAACGAAAGACCGTGATGAAAACGGAGAAAGCAAAGGCCGACGTTTGAAATCTGGCTGTTTTGAAGAAAAGAAAAGGCGGAATGTAGTGAGTGATGAGAATTATATACCTGCTTTCCCATCGGTAGGTCTTTTAGTGGAAGGTTTCACAGAAGTTTTAATCTGGACCTCGAGATAAAATTGCTGTAGGAAACATGATACGATGACATGATGTATTTGGGGCCACTCGGGAAGAAGCTCCATACGGCTATTTGGCAGGCCGTTAGCCACGAAAAGCCCTGGATGTCTCAAGGTTGAATATTGTGGTAGTCACAGACAAGTCCCTTTTAAGCTGTTGTTCATTTCTGGAGCTGCGTTTAAATGAAACCAACGGCTTGCGCAATCCATGAATAGGGGTGGTGTGGCACCTAGAGGACATCTGATATTTGATATACCTAGAGTGGATGGAGTATGCACCAAATCCCACTCGTTCGTATGAGAATATGGGTCCGTAGCATGTTTCGTTATCATCCTTTATGATACCCAGGTAAGGAATATGAACAACCGACTCTTCTGTTCCCCTTCACGTCTTGTCATAAAGTCTTAGTTCAGATGGGCGAAACATTCTGTTCAATATTCCATCGGTGGCCTTATGTTACTCAACCAGGGGCTCAGGAGCGGTCCCTATTCCAGGGGTTAATTGAGGACGAATGACGGAGAAGGTTGGATAAAGAGGAGTATCTACCCTTGTTCACGCTGGTGACGTCTCAAGATTTCATAGAATAAGTCACTAACACGAGCTAAGACCCAGGTTTCATTGATAGCATGGTTCACTTGTGACCCTGAGTTTGTTAGTCATTATAGATGTGTATTTATGAAAAAGATATTCAGGCTCAGTTCAATGATTAATAGCGAGAGTCAAGCCATTTCAAATCTGCGCACAATCAAACTGGGGAATTTTGTCACACCTTGCCTTTTGTCTATGCGTGAGACCAAGCTAAAGATTTATATGACTTGGAGTGGACCTTACCACAATCTCCTTGCTGAAAAACTCTTGTTCAACAGCTTTCAAGGCTTGGTGTATCAATTATCTTCTTAGAGACTTAATTGAAGACCTCCTAAAACCTAATCTCATGTAGGGAATTTCTTGTATCACGTTGTGAATGAAAACTTGCTGATCGAATAAAGTAAATGGAATATGCTTCGATTACTTTAAATAAACAAATCCCTCATTCACAGCTGAACGAGATTATAAGGAAAGATAGGTCCCCGTGAAGCGATGGTGCAAAGCTCAGTTTCTCAGGTTTCAAGGGGCAAAGGCAGACACGGAATGAAGCTATCAAGATGCATAGTCGGCATCATGGTGTGTCAGAATCAAGGTCGTATTTCTATTCTAGAGAAGGCACTAGATATAGAATCTGCTTGAGAGCAAGCATATGTTTCATTGCAATGGTCCCGATGGTAGAGGTTATTCTACCAGTTGGGAATGGAATTCCGCCTTGAATATGACTGAGCATCAAGAAGGTAGATATGGATTTTTGCAGAAAAGTGGTCTCTGTAATAATTTCTCATATCTCTCTGAATACAATCTTGAGCATGTTAGAGGCAAGCCCATGAATCGTCTTATTTTGCAATATTGGAAGCATGGCATTGTAGGCATGTACATGTACCTGTAGTTACCACAGCTACATGTAATGTAATGTACACATAAGCTTGGAACGATAGAAGCATTTCGTAAGAGAGAAGTATTGCAGTTTCGATCACTCCTGCAAGCGAGATGCTTCAATCACGGCTTCAACATGGAACAATGGCAAAGGAAATGTCCTAGGATGAGTTGCCCGACAAGTCAAGATCGCTAGATCCTCGAGTCAAGTCAATAATTAGTATTCGCCATCAATGGGATTGTTTATTCTGTTTGCGTTGCGTCTTTCAATATCAGCCAGGTCAACTATCCTCTAATTCTTCCCTCCGCCAGAAAGACAATAATAGAAGGAATTGCAAAGCCTTTCGAATCAAACGAAAATGGCGACGACAATAAGAATATTTCTTCATTCGGGCTCCATTCTTTTTTGCGAAGCCCGAGCCCGTGAGATTTCCATATACAAAGCATGTGGAGCGCTGTACGAGCACCGCCTAAAGATCAGCAAATGGCGGGCGGCGATTCCCCGAATACGTACCTATCTCGTTTGTTCGCACTTCAACCTGTCCCTGTGAATAATATCTGGATTCCTCCCTCCCGTAACTATTTCATTTTGTTAGGCTGATTTGAATGGAATTGTCGAAAAAAACGCTCCCAGCGCTCGGGCATTGTTTTCGTCACTTCGTCGGCATCACGAGCGCCCAGTTGAAAGAATTCCATGAAACGAGCGGATTGATGCATTTTTTTCCTATGCTTAAAACATGAAAGCCCAAGAAAACACCATCGGCAACCGCCTAGCCGCTGCACCCAGGCAGGTATGTATCATGGTCAAGATACAATGGAAGAGCGGAGGAGACAAGAAATAAAAAGGCGCCAAAGAAAGAGGCAAAGATAGAGAGTTTCCCACCAAAGATCTTGCTCAAACAATGTTCACAATCTATCAGCCACCGTCTAACCCCCCCCAATCAATCTGTCCATAGCTTAACGAATATTCAGCGTTTACATCGCCAACTTCCCACGTTGTCCACAGCTTCCACGCCGGGATTCGTTGGCGATATCTCTGCCAGCCCAACACTTCCCCTTGCATAGATCCATAGATCCATAGATCCAGGGATAGATCCAGCTGAATGAATTTCAGTACGGATCCATACCGTCGCTCTCTTTCTCTCTATGGATGAGAGACAACAAAACGGCAAATCCCCATCGTGATCATCTTCATCTTCGGGATCAAAAAATAATAAAATAAAATAAAAATTAAAAAAATAAAAAAAAAAGGGCGAAAAAAAAGGTCGAAAAAAAAGGTCGAAACAAAAGGGACGAAGAACGCCCCCGTTGCCGTTCCAAGACCAGCGATCCCTGCCTTGGCTTGATCCACGATTCCCTAGCCTTTGATCCCGAGAGTCCGTCGCTTGTTGCCCTTGTTCCTGAATAAAAATCCCTGTTCACGGCGGCGGGTGCCAAAGCCAGACAGGGGGGACGAATTGGTAAAGTTATGTGAAAAGATAGATTATTGGCTGGAAATTGGAAATCGCTGGGGAAGGAATGGGAAATGGTTAGACCCAAGGTCAGGCCAGGTTTCCCTTTGGTTTCGATCGGGGGATAATATATAACTATATATATATTTTCTTTTTTTCCTGTATCTGGCTTCATCCGCGATGCATTGTTGCCGTACGCTAAGCTAAGTACTCCGTATGTACTCTGTATTCAGGTTATGCAAAAAAGAAGGACCCCTTTTTACAAAACATGAAATGCAATCAAAAATAGTATTACATTGAACCCCCGGTGAAAAAAAAAAGTGCTTACCCGAGTAGAATTGAAGGGGTAAAGTTGTTATTTCAATTTATCCTCTGCTAAAAGTCGAGTATTAAACAAAAGAGTGCTTGCTGTCTAATGAATAGAAAAAGAAGTCCTGATATTGAGTGAGAAGAAGGTTTGAAACAGGAATTTTCACATCTCAAAAAAATGTTCAAACAAAAAAAATAAAAAAAAAATAAAAATAAAAAAACGTGTATGTATAACAAAAACCTGTGTAAAAGTGGCCGCCCAAGTGGCCGCCTCTGGCCATCCTCATCATCCTCATCCTGGCAAGGTGCCATCAACACCCGCCCAGCCCCAGGCTCCAGCCAGCCTGGGCCAGGGCTGAACTAGCCCGAACGTACGTACGTGCAGATCGTTATCTTCTTGGAATCCTGACTCGGCAAGCTGGAAGGGCAGTTTCCTTCGAACGCGCGAAAAAAAGACATAGTGAGAGGAGAGAGAAAAAGAAACAAAAATGCGCGAGTATTGATTGGGATGGCATTTTCATTCCCCTCTGTCATGTCACACATCGAAATCACATCACGTTATCACGTTGTTGGTTCCAAGGTTGCTGAGTCTGACATGATCAGCATGGAGAAATGATGGTATGTGCTGTGCTGTGCTGGTTGGTTGTTTTTGTCTCATTTTCTTTCTTTCCTTTCTTTTATTTATTTAATTTTATTTTTTTAACACTTGATTTTATTTGGTGCTATTTCTGCTCTTGAACCCCTGTGACAGGAAGAGAAAAAAGATGAGAAAAGATGATGCCAGCTTGCCTCCAGCGGTACTTCGTAACTACCTTGTCTTTGATTCATCTATTCGCTCAGCAAGAAACTAAGGAGATATGGCGAGGAGAAAATCATGGAACATCATATCATTATTACTCAACTGACTGAACGTGCTGTTGTTATTTATTGCCTTCAATCAGGGACTGGAGTTGGGGATTCCTCCCCTCACCGCTTTCTCACATTAGACGGATTTTTGGATTTTTGCTGCACGCACAAAATACTAAAATCCTAGTTGCCAATTACAGTACAATGTGGATTTTCATAACTAACTCTTTTGAAGGTTTAATAACAATCAAATCTGATATCTTGTAGATAACTCTGAGTATACTTCAATCTAAAGAACCGTTATAACCTTCTAGAAGGCCTAGCCTAGGTACCTTATGAGAAGAACGTAGAGTTATTACACGACCGGATTATGGTTGTTCCACCATTTCAATCAGCAACACGGTCGCTGAGCTGTAAATCATAGTATAATGATGAATGAATGATGGAATCACTGTAAATAAGTGATAAACTGAAAAAATCAATTATTATATTAGTGATGTTGTCAAATTCAATCTATATAATTACTAATTCTAAAAATCATCTCATTCACTGATATCATTTTCTATTAGAAATCACAGACACTTCTATCTAAATTCTCTCAAATTAACTGAATCAAGTTTCTTTCATAGTCTTTATTTCTAGTCATGTTGCTCTTATTAATCACATCACTGAACTTACAAATTAAGGTTTGTAGATTAGTTATGATCTGAGAGACACTATCATCAGTCATCTAATATTTGAGAGTTGAGATTTCAGAGTAATTAGATGCTGAGTATTTAAAAGTCTATATAATTATTAATCTCTGAATAAATCTGAGAATTATTTCACTGACTCTAGCTTACTGTTTCAGTGATTATTTCATAAGTTCAGAGACTCAGAACACTCATCAGAGTTGAAAGATTAAAGAAGAAGAGAGAGAAAGAATTGACAGTGATAATAGAGAGACTGATAAGAGTTATAGAGAGAGAAAGAGAATTATTACTATTAATAGATTTCTTATTACTACTACTCTCATTAACTGTATTACTGAGAAGTTTGATAATTATTTTAAATCAGTTTATTATTTTATATATTTTAATGAAAATATGCTGTGCTTTCTCTCTGACACTATTAATCAAGTTTATGAGATTCTTCATTGTCACTTTTTAATTCTTATAATAATTATTAATCAATCTTAAGATCTTCTGCTGAACAGCAAGTTTTATATTTTCAATATTTAATTTTCTCTTTTTAATAGTGATTTTCTTCTTCTTCACAGTAATTTTCTTCTTTTCAATCTTCAATTTAACTCTTTCAATATTTAACTTAGTCTTCTTAATTTCAAGTTTGACTTTTTCAGCAGAACTGATAGATATATTTGAGACTTTCAATGTGATAGTTATACTCTTCATTTTTTAATTTTCTGCTTTCTGTCAGTGTGTCTTTGCTTTCTTAATTTACTTGAATAAATTCTTCACTATCTTTAGTATGACTGACTTGACTGATTTCTTCATGACTGTTAAAGTGATAAGATAAAACTCATGAGTTCAGATCAGATTTTCAATTTCATTATTAAATTTATCAGAGTATATTATATAATCTTTCTTTTCATAGTTACAGTTTGAACATAGCTTTATACTTTCTTCAACTTTGTCACAAACAGATTTAATATAATGAGGAAAAATATATAAGATGCAGTGCTCACATATCATTGACTTGCTAGATTTGATAAGAGTATTCAGCCTGCTTACTATCTCTTTCTCTTGTGCTTTTGCTGCTGCTGCACATGTACACTTGAGAGTGTTTTCAGTCATTTTAATGTTATTACTGCTGCTGTTGTTACTGTTATTACTGCTATTATTGCTGCTGCTGCTGCTGCTGCTGTTGCTGCTGCTGCTATTACTGCTACTGCTGCTGTTGCTGCTGCTATTATTGATATTACTGTTATTACTGTTGCTGTTATTACTGTTACTATTATTACTATTACTGTTGTTACTGTTGCTGTTATTACTGTTACTGTTGTTACTGTTGCTGTTATTACTGTTACTGCTGCTGTTGAATGAAATAATAGATTACTGATATTCTTGATATACTATGCACATTAGATATCTTGACATTAGAACTTTTGATATTCAAAGCTTTCTATTACAACTGACAGAATACTAATCTTACTGAAGATGAGAAGAGCTGAATAAACTGAAAAAATTAATGTTTGTATTGTGATATGATTATGAGAAGAAGAAAGAAAGAAAGAAAGAAAGAAAAAGAAGATAGTAAGTTATTCTTCTTATATATATTATTAATTCATCTTTGCAAATTATCATGCAATGAATGCAAATGCTTTTATATTTTATCTCTGAGTGTAATCAGCATATCTGATAGATTTTATTCATATCTTAATACTTTCTGCACAGGCTATCACTGAATGAATTACAGCTATTTTGAATATAAAATCATTTCTATTAACTAGAAACAAGTGTTTAACATACTGTCAGAAATATATCTACAGAATTCAAGATTTTCTAATACAGTGAAATCAGTGAATTCTTCACAGTTATAACTATATAAATTGTAAGATAGAGAATATAACAACTTTCTTCAGCAAATATCAAGACAGATATATTCTAATTATGTATATTAAAGTATATATTAACTAATTTATATATAAAACTCATAGAAAACTAAATATATTAAAATATAAATAGATTATGTTGAAAATCTCTACATCACTGATCTGCCTTTCACTGAAAGTATCTCTGAAAATTTGATCTTTTTCTGTATCTTTTTTCACACATCTTTTATCAGATGTTTCTTTTTTGCTGTCAGAGTATTCTGAATTGTCACAGCAAAGTCATCTCTGATAATTTACTAATATTCAGAAATATCATTTATCAGATCTTAGAATGTCAGAATATTTTATCATTGCAGTATAGCTGTGATGAAATTTTCATTTGTATCAGTATCATCAAATATTTTAACCTGAATTACAAGATTGATATATATCTCTATTTTTCAGAATTAATTTCTAGTTTTTCAATCTGAAGTTTTTAATTCAATATCTTTAACTAATGAATATTCAACTTACATTTCATATATCATTGTCCTTGCTCAGAGAATTAATCAAAGTCAATAATTTCTCATACTCAGTAAAAAACCAGAAAGAACTTTTCAGTGATAAATGAATCATAGAAGTATTTAAAGATGATTAATTCTTTATAGCAGTTATGTAATTCAATTATCACTGAACTTTCTCTGCTCTTTGTCTTCTTCTGTTGAATATGATTCTATATTAATAAATAGTTAGCTAAGTTGATCAAAAAAATTTTAATATTTCACTGAAAAGTTTCAAATTCTTCTAAGATATCTCACTGAAAAGTTGATATATTTGCTAAAATCTAATACTACTTGTCTTCATTTCTTTGAGAGTTCAGAACTTTCATGTTTTAATTACATTCAGCATCATCATTCTGCTGAATGAAAAGATGTATAATGTTTTATTCTTTATTTTTATCACACTTGTAACTGTTCAATTCAAATTATCTTTATTGAAAGAAAGAAAATACATTTATTTTATCTTCAGATACAGACACTGCTCTGTCAGTCAAATTTTCTTTTTATATATTTCTGCATTCAGATACTGAGTTCAGCAACACCTTTTTAACAGACTACTTAATATCAGTGATGAGTTTGACTTCTTCTTATCTGACTGATATTCATCATTACTGCTATTATGTTTATTCTATATTCAGATATATCAATATCAGATTTCTTTTGAAATCAGTGATTTGTCTTATTAAACCTATCAGATGAGAGAGTTTGAAGAGATCTAGTAGAGTAGAATTCATGACAATGTTCATTTTCAGAATCTTGATAGAACTCTGATAAATTTGTGATATGAATAGAAATATAGTGATTTGATTCTTAATATTAAATTAATATAGATTGTCACTGATTGCAGCTCTTATTAATATATTTCTTTTCAGTAATTCAATCTCATCTCTTTATTTTATCAAGATCACTTATTCACTTCATTCATATCTTTTCAACTACACAACTTTTTTCTACAAATTATATCAGAAAGTAAAATATTATATCTGTTTAATTAAAATTCAAAACACTATCTGCTATCTGTCTCTAGATAAGAATCTGGGAATGATCAATGTCTCTCTTTCTCAGAAACTGCAAATGAAGATTTCATTAACAGTGATTCAGATATTGATGCTTCTGATGAAGAAGTATTACTATTCTCAGTAAGTTTATCACTTTTGATGTCTCTATTATT